ATTTCCATTTCTGATTTTGTTATATTATTTTTAAGTTTTAATTTATATACTTTCCTCTCAACACAATATCTAAGATTTTACAGCTTATCTAAGTTTATTTTTTCTTTAAATTAATGTTTACTTTTTTATTCTCTAACATGGCTTCTTTGTTACTGAGGTCTTTACTTTGTTTTCTGTCTTGGTTCGCTACATTTCGTGATCGTACAGCACCTCCCTCTCCTTTTCCAGTAGGGTTCATCAGATCTCTCATGGATAAAAATACCTTCCTGTGACCTCTGTATTTGGAAAACAAAGTAACTGAGTATGAAAATTGGGGATTGGTCTTTTTTTCCCCTCTTAGTTTTAATAAAAGTTATTGAATATACTGAGAAGTCTTTTTATTTTCCCTTCGTACGTCTGCTTGAAATCCCTAGGAATCTTTATCCCGGTAATTTCTCAATATTGACCCTTCTGTTGTAGTTTTATTATTTGAAAATACAAATCTAAGTAAAACCTCTATCTTTTTATCATTTAGTATTTTGTGTTTTATTACTTCTGTTTTCTTTGCCTGAGTACACCAATTTTAAGTGTATTGAATCTCTTTTATCTAAGTATTCACTAGCTTTTTCTATACATTACAATATTTATCTTTTCTTATTCTTTTTGAGAAGTTTCCTTAAGCCTTCCCTCCATTTCTCTGAATGTGGTTGCAGTTATTCTAGTTTTACTTCTTTCTAATACGTCTTTTTATTCCAATAATGAATTTTCCCATTTCTTACTTTTAGTCAGTATTCGTATATCTAACTTTTTTCTTGTTAATTTTTTAAAAGATTTTATTTTTTAATTTTTAGACAGAGGAGTAGAGAGGATGAAAGGGAGAGAAACATCAATGTGTGGCTGTCTCTCCTGTACCCCCTACCAGGGACCTGGTCCACAACCCAGGAATGTGCCCTGCCTGGGAATTGAACCAGTGACCCTTTGGTTTGTAGGCTGGTGGTCAATCCACTGAGCCCCACCAACCAGGGCTCTGTTAATCTTTTATGTTTTCCTTGAGCTTCTTTTTAAGGGGAACTTTTTAATATTTTATATGATTTGTTGAGTATCTGAGTTTTGTTTTTTTTTGTAAGTAGTATCTTTGAAATTTTGGAGCACTCTTTCCTGATAAACATTCTACATTTGTATAGTTACGTTTCTTCCCCTCTCAACTACTACTCCTTCATCTCTCTGTTTCTCTGTAAAATTCTTTTATTCTTAGCAATTACTCATCATGAATGGGGAGAGTTCTATCTTGTCATACCATATGATAATGAAATTAGTGACATAAAAATGGATCATAGGCAGAGTGAGCTGGGGCACTCCACACCTTTAATTCTGATTTATTCTCTGGAACAGTGGCTGCCAATTTTTTTCAGTAGCGCCATATGTATTTCCAGGCTTTACAGTCCATACAAAGTGACTGCTGTTGCAGCACAAAATGAGCCATAGAAAATATGTAATGTGTAGGCATGGCTCTGTTCCGATAAAATTTTATTTACAGAATCAGATAGTATCTTGTATTTGACTCACGGGCAATATTTTGTTGACCCCCATTTTTGAATATCTGTTGCTCGATTATAGGTAGGAGGCCCTTACCAGATAATGACGAGAGCAGCCAATGCAACTCCTAGGGGCAGTTAATGGTAACTTGTCTGGCAGTTGAGACTGTCACTGGAATGGGTTGTGGTAACCTGGCAGGGGCTGTGCAGTTATTTGATACCGACTATACGACCTGTGTGACCATTGAGAGTATCTCTACTATATCACCTCTACATCACTTTCTTATTGGATATTACTGCTTCATTTCTTCTATTCCCAGAAATAGTAATACAGTTTTGGCAAGAGTCAGCCCCATTTTTATGTTCTTTTTAATGTATGCTTATGGCCTACTCTTATGGACTAAGCTTTTGGCATTCATAAAAATCTTAATTTTTCAAAAATGCCAGGTCTTGAAAATTTGAAATTTATTAGGTTTACAAAATGTTGTCTCATAGTAAGTGTTTATGAATTCATTTGGAAACTCTTATCTTTACTTTGGCGCTAATGCAGTGACTATATAAGAAAGCGATGTTGCCCTGGCCAGGTTGGTCAGCTGGTTGGAGTGTCGTCCTGTAAATCAAAAGTTTGTGGGTCTTATTCCCAGTCATGGTACATACCCAGGTTGTGGCAGGTATGGGGGACAACCAGTGGATGTTTCTTTTTCACATTGATGCCCCTCTCTCTCTCCTTCTCCCTCCCTCCTTCCATCTCACTTCCTTTGTGTCTCTAAAATAAATAAACATATCCTCTGGTGAGGATAAAAAAAACCCTATCATTTTCTGGAGCATTTTAAAAAAAGAAAGAAATGTCTCTGACTCAATAAGACTTTGGGGTAAGAAAAAAATAAGCAAATATGTAATAGTCTAAATCCTTATAGTTATCATACAGTGATACTGTCTTACTTCCTTCCCTTCATTTGACAGGCAAGTTTAAGCATTCTTTGAGAACACTAGATGGATTGGTAAGATAAAATTATTCTCCAGGCAGAGTTTATGATCGACTAAAGAAAAGAGATACTCCCCAACCCCCTAGACTTGCTATGCTTTTGTAGAAATTTCATTGTTAACTTGCAAACCTATTCTATATTTTCCTATAACCACTGCAGGCAAGAGCAGGAGGTAGGAGATGGTAAGAAATAGAGGAGGGAGAAAACAGAGCTTAGGTTATTTTACTTGTCATCAATATATTATCACTTTTTAAAAAACTTATAATACAAAAGGAACACTAAGTACATGCAAATAAATATTTAATATCCCTACCAATGTGTTTAATTTTATAAAAATTGCCTAGTATTATTGCATTATAAAATCCACACATATAGTTATGTGTAGTTTAGACATTTGCAATATAAAGTTGCATTTAAATTTTTTTATATTAGATGTCAATTTTTATAGAAAATATGAACTTTGGATAGGCTAATAGGATTTTTAAGGGTAGACTTTGCCAAAGGTTATTCTGTGTAAATTGGTATTATTGTTCACTAGGTGTGTCAGTAACATGCAGCAGTGTACAAAGCTATTATATTTTATTTTATTTTTTCCTTCAAGACTAGAAATATACAGAATAAATACAACAATTTCTGAGATAATTATTAGTGGAAGTTCATGTGTAACACTGTCTTTTAAATTTTTCTTTTATGAAATGGTCTGTTATTGCCATAATAGTATCTCTAAACTTTGATACATTCTTTAGCTTTCTATGTGTATGAAAAAAGCAAAAGGAATAATAGATTAATATTTACTGAGGAAACAGCCTAAAAGTGATATAACTACTAGATGTTATACAACAGAGAAGTAACAGAGTAAGGACACAACTTCAAGTTTGTCAGATTAAAGCCAGTGCTCTTATCCATGTGTTAGTTAAGTTACTGTGCCAATAGCTTATCTTTAGATAATTTATAATAAATGTAGACCTTTAGATAATTTATATCTAGCGAATCATAATTTTTTTACATGTCAGGCTGCTTTCTTCCTGCAAAAATAATTTAGAAGATTAGCTCACTTCAATTTTTCAATGGTTATGTTCATTCATTTAGTCAACTAATATTTATTGATCTATAGGCAGAAATAATGCAAATTAAACAGATATAATCTCTAATCTCATAAAAACTAATTCCATATCAAAACTTTGTGGCCAATTGAAGGTAGTCACCGTGTGAAGTTTTGTTGTTATTCTAGAAATGTGTCTGTTATTTAAAATACTGTTAATGATCTCGCAGAATTTCCTTCAAGTCCCCTAAGTGAATGTATTGTTTTAGGGTATATATTCTAGTTTTGGAAACAACTAAACATCTAAACCTGAAGGGAAAATATAAGTTACATGGTCAAGTTAGAGAACTTCTTTTCCTTTGGGCTACCCACCACCCTGTCTTATTCATTATGATTATAAATTAAAGTGTGACTGGGCTGCTTCTCTGAATTCTAATGTAAATGTAACAGCACTTCCATCAAATAAATTTATTTTTTTCTAGCAACCATTGGCAGACTCTTGGGATATTATTTCTAAAGCCTCCTGATCCAGCTTTGAAGAGAACCTCTTGTGTTTAGCGAATTTTAAAAATTGACAGTCTCATTGGTTTGTAGACAAACCTTGTATACTTTCTTAGTCTGTGTCCGAGTAGAGAAAAGGGTATGACATGCAATAGGAAACAAACTAGAGAAAGGAAAACTGTCTGATGGCAGTGTTTTTCTTGAGTTGTTTGAGAGAATGTTCACACAAATTCCTTGATTTTGTTTTTTACCACTTCCTGCAGATGTTGTTCCTTGTGCTTGGTGTGGTCTCAGTCTGCTTCTGCCCAACTCCAGTGTCACATTTGTCCAACATCCCTGATCTTTTGTTGTAATGATAATGGGTCATTTAAATTATGTAATATATTTGCATAATTTACATTTGCATTAATTATATGTGAGATATGCTTTCCTCTCTTATATGTAAGCAATACAAAGCAGAGATTGTATGTTTCATTAATGTCTGTATTCCTTTAGGTTTCATCACAATTAATATCAAATGAGTGAATAGATGAATGCATGAATAGAGGAGATTCTGTATAAGACAAATTTATAGGGATGACAGGCAGTTATGCATATAATTCCATAGGTAATACAATGAGGGCTGTACTTCAGTTATAAAAGAAAAAAAAAGAATTAAGAAAAGGAGTCACCAAATTTTAGTTACTAATGAACAGAGCATACATCGTGCAGTAGAGTATGTGGGATCAGAGTGGAGCTTTGTAAGAAGGAAGAAGTGAGCTAAAAGAACGAATGTGGAGCTCGTGTGTATTTTACCGTGCTTACACTTGTGGAAATGGTAAGCTCTACAAGGCTGACAAGCATGTGTTTTATACTCTGTAGTAAGAAGTTCCATCATAAAAGTTATTGAATAAGGTCTTTTTTATTTTTAATACTTGCCTCCTTAAATACTATAATTTTTCAATTATAATTTTACAGATTACCTGCAAAATATTGGAGATGCAGATCCAGGATCCGTAAGACTTTACACCTTGAACCAAGCATTTATTTGATATACACTTCTATCTTTTCTTCATATCAACTATATTATTTTTAAAACAAATTAACAAATTTGCCATTAAGAAATTTTTAAAAATAATATTACCCACACTTTCCAATGCCTAAGAATAGCAAAGTGGTAAAAAGAGAGTTAGACGATGAGGTTATTGAATCTGTCAAAGACCTGCTTTCCAATGAAGACTCAGCTGATGATGCTTTTAAGAAGAGTGAACTAATTGTTGATGTCCAAGATGAGAAGGATACAGATGCTGAAGAAGTTTCTGAAGTGGAAGATGAAAGACCAGCTTGGAGCAGTAAGCTACAATACATCCTGGCCCAAGTTGGATTTTCTGTAGGTTTAGGGAATGTGTGGCGATTCCCATACCTATGTCAGAAGAATGGGGGTGGTAAGTTTTTTGTGGTTTTTCTTTTTTTTTAAAGTGATACATTGCTGAGTAAATTTTAATTGATTATCTCAAACAGCTGCTCATGTTGCTGGCATCACATTATTTTATAAACTATGAATTCCATAATAAAGCAAGGGAGACTCTTGTTGAAAGTGAGCTTAACTCTGTTTTCAGAATAGGTTTCCATAGGAGCAGATGGCTTGCTATGAATACACTAGGATTGCAGTTCAGATTAATGCATCCTCAGAGTCTTTTCATTGGGTGCCATTAAATGTGCTAAATTACTGACTTTTATAACAAATGGTGCATCCCTTGTGCCCCTCAGTTATTGTTTCAGGAGAAAAACCTAAAGTTTCTGGAATAAGACAATATTGTTGAAGAAAGAGAGAATTTTCTATTATTTACATGTCTGAATTTTAAGTAGTTAAACTTCATAAAAGCAAAAATTACATATAATATAGAATGAGTTTAGTCTTTAAATGTTGACCAGAACTTTGTAGATCCCAGTAGAAGGGATTTAACTGGGTAATTAATATAATACCCGATTCTCCATCCTTAGATATCATACATATTAGTTTCTTCTATAGTATTTGTGGACAATGTTTTGTTTTAAAGAATACTTTAAAAAATTGGAATCTTTAGTTTTTAAACAAAAGTATCTGTATCAACATGGTATTATGGTTTCTTTTTTATTTTTGCATATAAGTACCAAGGGCTATTTAGCAAACATTTCTTAAAATTCAAGGGAAAAAAAACACATTCAAAGGAATAGATTGTTCATGTAGGACATTGCTTTATAGTATACCAAAATCAACCTGAATGGTTTACAGCTTTATTATTTATATACATGGAAGCTGTTAAAATGTGTGGGTAAAAACTGAATACTCTATATGCCTCATTTCAGTACTCATCAGATAGAAAAAGTATTTTGGTATTTGATTCCAGTTTGTGATAGTTTTGTTGACTGGGCAAAATGATCTTTATTTTATTTTATTTATTTTTTGTTGTTCATGCTATTATAGTTGTCCCAGTTTTTCCCCCTTGACTCCCTCTTCTCAGCCTGCCTCCCATTCCCACAGTCAATCCCTACACTGTTGTTCATGTCCATGGGTCAGACATATAATGTCTATGGTTTTATTTTAGATGTAGTTGCAATTTACACATCAAGTGAAATAACATAACCATTCAATATAGAATTTCTTCTTAGCCACCAAGAGATAAAAAGATAAGGTATGATGGTGACAAAATATGTTTAAAATCTTGCTTAGCTAATTCAACCAGGCACAGAATAAACAGGTTTGAAAAAATTAGCCTGTTTGACAAATCTTCCGGAGATGTAGGAACCAATACATGAAGCCGGTGATGTACTGCACATCGTTCCACTGAAATTGTGAGCTCCTTTTCCCAAATAACATCCCAGTCAGTACCATCCGAAATCAATTATTTATCAAATCAGCATAAGCAGCTATGTGGTATGCTGCTTTTTGTTTCTCAGAAATCATTGCATTTCCCAAGGCTGGCAGAGGATGAAACCTGATTTTCAGAATTCTTACCTTATGAGCCTTACAGCCCATGCTAAAGAAGGAGGCTGCCTTGGTTGAGAAGTTAGGTTGCTTTCCATTTAATGCAATCTTTGTCTTGATGGAGAGCGCTAAAGAATTGTATAGTTAGTAATTAGCAAAAATGGCTCTTTCTAATTTTCAAGTAAAAGTAATCAAAATATCCTTTCTAGTATTGTTTCCTTTATTCTAATCACAAACACTAGAGAGTGATGTTACCAAAAACAGTGGAATTTTATTCTTTCAAGATGGTCGCTATAGCACAAAAGGTTGTGCTCAGTGTACAGAGTAATGTTGAGCCGTCTAGGTATTCCAGTAGTATCTTCTGGCTGCAAAGTCAGAGAGCCTCAAGCTACCTAATTCTTTCTTATTCATTATTTGAGACACCTTATGAATAATAGAAGTAAAAAGTAGTAGCATAATAAAAGTTGGTATTTCCAAAGATATTTTACTTAAAGCACAATGGTTAAGCTTAATAAGTGGTATAATATAGAAGCTACCAGCCCAGTATTTGAAATAAATGTGACTGTGATGCCTGGCTCTTTTAGACACTAGTCATGTGATTGTTACAAGTTAACTTACTTCTTCTGGCTTACTTTCCACATCTGTAAAATGAGGAGAATAATGGTACCCCACTGGATTATTGTAAGGAATAAATGGGTAACTATGTGTAATAGGCTTAGAAATGTGCCTAGCAAATGGTAAATACTTAGTTATACTTTAGCCATAAGTATTTTTAATATGGAGGCTAATTAGAGTAATTTGAGTTAGAGGAACAGCTAAGTATCTAAGAACATGTCATGCACGTGAGTGGGGCCCCCAAAATTGGAATTATCTTCTGAAAGGTGGGCCCTTTGTAGTACATGCCTCCCCAGCTAGGTTAGTGTTCCAGGAACCCATCTGTATCAATGCACCAACTAGTGTTGTTGTCAGAGTCTGTGTCCAGCTTCTGTGCATTTTTTTTTGAAGACTCAACCCATTTGCCCATTTCATGATGATTGATTTATGCACGCATCTGCCCACACCTCGTAGAATGTTCAGCAGTTTCTGATGAAAAATGGTATGACTTCTCTGCCCCACCCTCTATTCACCCAGTCTCACCACAGCAACTCTTTTTGTTTGTTTACCTGGATGAAAAAAGTCCTTAAAAGGAAACGTTTGCGGAGGTGGAAGAGGTGAAACAAAAAAACGGCAGAGTACTGAAAGGCATCACAGTTGATGAGTTTAAAAACTATTTTGAGCAGTGGGAAAAATATGTCTTGATAGCTGTATTGCATCAAGTAGAGAGCACTTTGAAGGTGATTGAAGTTTAAACATGTAAGAATAAGTACACAATTTTTATAAATGAATTCTGTTTTGGGGGCGTCCCCCTCATTCATAACTGAGGAAAGATTCACAGTGAGTCCAGTGTTAGTTAATTCTCTTTTTTTTTTCCTAGTCATTCACACACAAACCCATTCACATTCTAGGATTCAATGCAGGTGTTGAAATGCATCTTCAGTCCTTTGGGAGACATTTTAAGGTCATTGGTACCTGAAGGTTACAGATCATTTTAGAATGAGGAACTTGGTAGTTTTGTTTCATCAGCTCACACGTCCATACTTTTACATTACATACACCTGTGTAGAGGCAACTCAAGTCCAAAAGACTGAAAGTCAGGCATAAGACAGTTGAGATTTTCTGCTGATCACTGCGTTAGGGAAAAATTCTTACATATGAGCCATTATTTCAGCAGTAGATAGGTACTGAGATAAATAATTTGAGCAAAAATTTGTCAGTTTTTTTAGCAGAATGCTCAAACAATTTGAGTAGCTTCCAAAATCTATTCAGTCAATACCTCTTAACACTTAAAAAATGGGAAAATTAAATGACCTCTTATTTAAAAAGGTATTAGTGCCATTGATTAAATAACTCACTTGACAGTATCTGGTTGGACAAAACTCCAGTAAGGAATTTGAATGTAGACCTTAGAGGTTATTCAATGAATGATTTGTATATATATTCTCATGTAGAAATTTGTATGGATTTTACACTTAACTTTATCATTCTATAGTATAAAATTAATATTGCCAAACCAGTACATTTAAAAAAATCCTTACCAAAGGATATGTTTACTGATTTTAGAGAGAGGGGAAGGGTGGGGGGAGAGAGAGAGAAACATCTGTGAGAGAAACATCCATCAGTTGCCTCTTGTATTCACCTTGAACCTGCATCTTTTTGGTGTATTAGGGACATGCTCCAACCAACTGAGCCACCTGACCAGGGCATCAAACTAGTGCATTTTAAAACCACTATTCATATATATTAATTTGAGATTTAGCTGTAAATTTCCTAAGCATGGAAACTTTACCCCTAGGATAATGACACATACTTTATAATAGATATGAAATATCTTTGTTTCTGTCAGTGTCACTACCCCATCATAGAAATTTGGAAAACAAAAAATTACTTGTTTCCTGAAGTATACTTTTTATATGAAGTATATATGGAAACAGTGACATTTGTCTGTGGTAGAGGTTATTTTATTTTTATTTGTTTTTAGTTGAGGCAGCCATTTTTCTCCTCTGTGGTTATTTAGGAAAAAAAGTCAGTTTGTTAGCATAAAATCTCATTCATTTTAATTTATCCAATTTGCAATGAATGATTTAGATGAGCTTGAATAAAATTTAGTAAATGACTTAATACACATTGCATGAATAGGATTTCCATGAGTTTGTGAAACCTACTTGGGGAAATAATTAATTTTAAGGAATCAATTATTTTTATGGAAAATGAAGTTGTTTGCCCTTTCAATAAAATGAAACCAAAACTATTCATTGATATTCTTACTTTTATCAATTATTTTTTATCAGAAACTCTTTGTAGCAGTCAAATTGAGGTTTCAAATACTAGAAAGTTTAAAGTAATAAAATCGCATTTTCTTTAAGTTCCTTTTTACTTATACAATGTAGAAGTTCAAGTATCATCTTTACAAGATAATCAGAATTAGTATATTCTCTACTGTGACTATTGAAAATATAATCAATTTATTGGTTCTTGTCTCTGTAGGTGCATATCTTTTGCCATATTTAA